ACAATGAACTAATAAAACAAACATAATAGACTAAATAAAAATATAAATGTGAGCCATCACATTGAAACGAGAATTAAGTCCAAAAATGGGATGTGGAGAAATMCAGGTATATGGTTTTGATTTAACCGTTTGCAAGAATTGCATTATGTCAAAATATAATGAATTAATGCCTTATCAATGAATCATTTGAATGAACTCTCTGAAATATAATCCTAAAAACATTTTTGAAGCATTTTTTTGAGCAGTAGCAACAAAAAAACTGATTTTGAATTTTTCCCTGTGAGCTAACAATGATTTTGTTTCTTTCCAACTGGGAAATCTTAATATACAAATAATATTTGAGGTTTATTCTTTATATTAAAATAAAAAATGACTCAATAAATTTATGTAAAATTAGGATTCAGACCAAACATCATAACCATCAAGACAAATTAAGTCATATCTGGATAAGCTGATGATATCAGGATGATCCAGGTATCAAAATGTAGCTTTTAAAGCAGGAATCTGAAAATGTAATTACCGGGTAGGTCATTTTGACCAAATTGAATTTAATCCTCATGTCGATATGATGGGTCACATATTCCCATGGAATTTAGGGGTTGAAATGACAAATTATCTTTTAAAACAGCATGGGTTTTAGGAGGGAGTCCCTGGAATTTTTTTCGCCACTGTAAGGGGTCCCCAGACCCAAAAGGTTTGAGAACCCCAGTTCTAGTCACATGACCAATTTAGTGCTAAAGATTTACTCTTCATAAAAATCTGTCCCAAATTGTGTCAAAATTACAGACTTTAGGCTATACATAAAATTTTAAATTGTGTTGATAAATAAATTACAGGACCTTTTTTTTTTTAATTGTCATATATGACGTGGAGAGGAGCACCGAGTGGACCGACTGGAGCAATCTCCAGTCGGTCGGCCTGGTGGCATTAATCATATTAATTGTCAAGTACCAAAAAAATTATCGATTAATGTTTGTCTGACGATTAATTGCACACGATACGATTATGCCCAACCCTAATTCACATGTGACTTTAATAACATTTCTTGCTTAATGGAAACACATCAATTGCAAAACTGTGTTTTTTCAAAATTAATAGTATATTGAAAAAGTTTTGTGCACATTTGCAATGGAAACACAGCTACTTTTAGTGAGTGAGTCTGTGGTGAAGTGGGGGAAACACCACAATTAACACAACCCCGTGGTTTCACAACTCACCCTGCATGAACCGTCATTACGTTTAGGCAGGTGGTTGTTCTGATGTAATTTCTAGGGATGTCCCGATCCAGATTTTTAGGCTTCCGATACAATCTGATTTTTTTAATGATTAGTCTTTCTGATACCAATCCGATTGCTTTATTTCTTTATTTCTTTCCAAGTGACAAGGTTGGTAGTATTAAAGCGAGCCCTGCTGTTCCCAACATGAGAAACATCCAGTTTGCAGATTTTGCAAGATGCAGTTTCAGCATCATTGTTTTCTATTGAAAAGTGTTCCCACACTGTAGACATGGTTGCACACTTGTGTGCGTCTTGACTTCTTAACGGCAGTTGTAAAGCATGATGATGCTGAAAACTGTCGCAAAAACTGGATCGGCCCGATCACATGACTAAATCCGATTCTACCCGATTTTCAAAGAACGACCATATCTGCCACTGATGCTGAGTATCTGATCGGGACATCCCTAGTAATTACTGTTTCTAAACCTTTTCCATTTTAAAACTAAGATGAATTTTAATGGTTTCTTTAATGAGACAGTCTTATATTAAAGAAGTAGTTTTCCCTAAACCTCCTGCTGTCCTTGGGTCAAAATGACCCTGACCCTTCACTGAATAGACCAGGGGTCTGCAACCTTTACGATCAAAACAGCCATTTCTGCTCTTTGACTCAYTGATAAAATGTGTCCAGGGCCGCAAAACAAGCCACAACTGTAATTATCAACTGGTGGTCCATGGGCCTTTTTGAGGCCTTTTCGGGAACCTTTACGGCCAGTAGAGGTGGCATTATAAAACAAAACAAAAAATATTGTGATTTTTATTATTTAATATTATTTTTACACATCAGGACAAATGAAAAGACCAGATTTATGTAAATAAGAAAAATACTGTATATAATGTATACCCAATTTCATAAAAACTAGTACAACTGAACAATTCTGGCTTATTTTTTTCTTTGTTTTTATTATTGTTGGATCTGTTTTGTTTTTATTATTAGGAGGACTGCAGATGTAAACTAGCCTTAGGCTAAATCTGGTGCAATGCATCAAATGTTTTTATGTTTGTGTTTTAATTGCACATTGTCCTCGTAAATAAAATTCATTCAATCTAATTCTTATTATGTAGTCTTTAAATTCTTTAAAAGGTAATTCTGATGGATTTGAGAGAAAGATCATAGAAAGAACTTGGATTATTTAAGTAAACAACAGACTAGCATGAGCTAATCAACAGGTTTTACTTTCTGTATTAGTAGTATTGATCACATATTTGCATACAAATTGATTTCTGTTGTGGGTATAAAAACAAACAAACAAAAAATTCTGTTATGTTTTCAAAGAGCTGCTGCAGTGGGAACAATGAGCCACATGTGGCCCCAGAGCCGCAGGTTGCAGACCCCTGGAATAGACCATCTCCTGTTGAGTGAACTGAAAACCTAACCTAGTACTCAGGTTTACAATCCAGTGAAGTTGGTCCAGATAGTACATTTGAAAATGATTTATAAACCATCGTRTTGTTTTTATTTGTTGGATTAAGCGTTGTAATAGAAAGTACTCACTGATCTTCGCTGCGCCGCTCTCCTTCTCCTCAGATTCGTTACAGCTGGTTTTTCTAATCTTCGACGGTACGCWGCTTTCAGACCCCTCTGCCGTCTGCGACCGGCGTCGTTTTTTCTCCGCTTTAGCAGAGGTCTTCTGAGCGCCGGGGGGTTCTGGATCGCAGCCAGCCGCTGGGGGCTTTCTCTTCTCCTCAGTCGGCTCTGTTACCATCGCCACTTCCTGGGCTTTTTCCACAGGTACTGCCGAGCTCTCCTTCTTTTTCTTCTTCTTTCGCTTTTTCTTCTCTTCTTCACCTACGGAACAAGAGACCTCTGCAACCTGGGGGTCTTTAAGGATGAAATGATAGAGTAGTTTTCATTTTAAACCTACGTGGCGGCGGGTTGTCGGATGGAAAAGGAATGGGTTTCCTGTTTAACGTTTTGGGGAAAATCCCTGGTTTCCTGGGCGCGTCTTCGGGAGGATTGTTCAGCATCTGTTTCAAGGGTTAAAGGRTCAAAACTTCTCATGATTTTCCTTTTTTTTTTTAACGAAAAACACCTCATAACATTTCATCCAGCATCGACCTCACCTCTACGGCTTTCTGTGCTTGTTCCTCCTTCTCAAACTCAATAAAGGCGAAGCCTTTAGAGTCGCCAGTGCTCCTGTATCTGGGGATGCTGACGTAAACCACCTTCCCACATTTGGTGAACACGCGCTCGATCCAGCTGTGCGTCACATCTTTGGGCAGGAGTTCCTTAAAGAGGGAGGGAATAACTTAGACAACTGCTAACTGCTAACTCTAGAGAAGTTACTAAGTTTGACCAAAAACAGCTACAACCTTCTTTGATTTACTCTTTTTTTTATAAAGAAAACTAGCATAAATTTAAATGGCTATAATTCAGCCATTTTAAGACTAATTGAGTCTAATTTTGTTGTGGTGTAGTCCAAATTAAGCTAACCGCTAATGCTAATTTTACAAAACGCTGCAAATTAGCCTTTAAACAGTTTAAAAAATGTATATAGCAGTAGCCAAAAATAATATTTAACAGAACCTGAATGGAAATGCAAAATCCAAGATGGCCGACAAAGCTAATTTCAAATAGGTGAAGTATATAGCTGAAGTTTAGTGTGGTGGTAGCTGAGAGCGATGCTCAGTAAACACTAAAATCAAAAAAAAAGAATCCAGGAGGCCACCAAAGCTAAATTGTTGCTTTTATTTAATTCAGTGATTTAGAAAAGTTTTTTTTATTCACTCACCGATTCTCTCTACACTTGACCAGTGGTTCCCAAACATTTCAGCTTTTGACCCAGAAAATACCAGCAGCAGAGACCTGAGTCCCCACCTGTTGTTGGTTGATAAATATTGTTTTCATGTCAAATAAACAAGAGCATAGTAACATTATTTATTAGGGGTGTCCCGATCCGATAATGATATCGGATATCGGTCCGATTTCAGCCAAAAAAGAGTATCGGATTTTATCGGCCTGCATAAAAAATGTCTGATAT